GGGGGGGGTTTGGGGGGTTTGGGGGGTATTGTGCATTAAATGTTTTTTGTTTTGTGCACATTGATACCCGATATTTGTAGCACACATGACCCCTAATGTCACCTCTGTACTACTAATCAATGACAGATCAGGCTTAAAAGGAGAACTATGGGGTCAGGGGTTTTCCCCATAGTTCTCCTTAGGGTAGCGGGAGGACACAAACTAGCGTATATATTACAGTGAAGCACATGGGGAGGAAATGTCATGAGCTCAGGTTTGGAAAGGCCGAGTCTGCAGACACTGTGCGACATCCGCACTGACATTGATCTAGAGCTGTGCCAGGAGACTGAAGGGGCGAGCTGAGGAGAGGAATGACAGATCTGGGTGTCAGTGCAGATGATGATTTATGTGACCCGGCTGTACACATGGAGGACGGCACATCGCTGATCGGCGTCACTTCTCTGCCACTTACCTGACAACGCGCACAAGTTCGTGAAAGGCCTGATCCACATTCATCCTGATCTTGGCCGAGGCTTCCAGATACCTCGCTTTCAGCTGCCGCGCCAACTGGTGTCCTTCTTCCTGCGTCACCTGCAATGAAACCAGAGGCGGCATTAACCATTTGTAGACTCGGGGAGCCACGGATAGCGGAGGGAGAGGATCCCGCCGTCCGCCGCAACGTTTCTCCACACCGCAGTCCGCATTTTCCATCCCATTCATAACATGCAGAGTGCGGTGTTCCTCAGTGTTACATTTAGGGCAGCAGAGTGAGCGCTGTGATTGGAGGAGAGGCCTGTCGTGTCTGATGTGTCATGTGACCGGGCCCGCCTCCATTTAAAAATATTATTCCATTTGTAAAGTGATCCACTCGCTCTGGAGGCCGAATCAAGCAAGTGCTAAGAACACGCGTGAAGCCCACCGATGTGCCTGAGGGACCGCTGACCGGAACGGGGGATGGTCTCATATTTATGGAAAGGCAGCCAAGAGACTTCTGGGAAATGGGGAGCGGAATGGTGGGAAAACATCACAGGATTGATTTTTTTCCCCCCCCAAAAAAATAAGTGCCGATCGGTCTGCGTTTCCTCGCCCTGAGGTATAAGCACAAACACTTTTTGGAACTACAAACAGAGCAAGACGAGCAATGAATGAACATTCTCAAATAAGAGACATCAGCAATGGAAGCGTACACAATTCTCTCATGACAGGTACACTTTAAAGTAGCTGGCAGCCTTTGTGTGATAAATATTGGAGGGTCTCCGGGGTTTACCTGCCTCTGGTGCTCCAGGTCCGCTTTGTTCCCCACCAGCACCATTGGGAACTCATCCCGGTCCTTCACCCGCAGGATCTGCCGCTGGAATTTGTAGATCTCCTCGAAGCTGAAGAGAAGTGACAACGGCATCAGAGGACCACGCAATGTCACATGTGTGTATACCGGGCGTGTGTGTATATACCGGGCGTGTGTGTGTGTGTGTGTGTATACCGGGCGTGTGTATGTGTGTGTGAGTGTATACCGGGCATGTGTGTGTGTGTATACCGGGCATGTGTGTGTATACCGGGCGTGTGTGTGTATACCGGGCGTGTGTGTGTGTGTGTGTGAGTGTATACCGGGCATGTGTGTGTGTGTGTGTCTATACCAGGCATGTGTGTGTATACCGGGCATGTGTGTGTGTGTGTACCGGGCATGTGTGTGTGTGTGTGTATACCGGGCATGTGTGTGTGTATACCGGGCATGTGTGTGTGTGTGTGTGTACCGGGCATGTGTGTGTGTGTGTATACCGGGCGTGTGTGTGTACCGGGCGTGTGTGTGTGTCTATGTGTG